GGGGAGGCGGGAAGGGTGGGACCAGGCACTTCCTCTTGATCCCCGAGACCCTTCATAAGCAGGACCAAGGTTTTGGGCCCCGGGGGTGGGCAGGGGGCGTCTCAGGGACTCCGGGGAACCACTGACAAGAGGGCCTGGGACCCCCCATCCGTGTCCCCGAGACTCGCCCCCCTCCCCCCTCCCCTTCCTGCTTCTCATGCTCCCGGTGACCCGTCCTAATGAGTCACAGATGCTGCCAGAGGGGTGTGTGTGTGGGGGCGCAGGGGGGTCCCTGGGAACCCGGGCGGGTGACTTTCGGGAGACTCGGGCTGCTGATGTCACTAGGTACGAGGGTGACCTCCCACCTCTCCTCCCTGACGCCCCCCGAGGGGCAGGGGCTGAGCCCCAGGAAGTGGGAGGTACCAGCCTTGGGGCCATTGTCGGGCGGTGCCCAAACCCACCAAGACTTGAAACCCCGAGGGGCCGAGGGGAGGACAGTGCAGTGGGCAGGGTGCTGGCCTTGCCCGCACCCACCCCTGGCCCCCCATCGAGTTCCCCCGGAGCCCCACCAGGGCTGACCTCTGAGCACAGAGCCAGGAGTCGGCCCTGAGCTCTGCAGCCCCTGTGAAGCCTGGGAGTTAGCTCGGAGGACTGGGGGCCTTGCAGGCAGCGACCCTGTTCTGCTGCCTACACCTCGAGGTCCCCAGAGCCCCCTGGTGTGGCCCTGGTTACCCCAAACACTGCCAGGAGTGGCCCAAGGCCTGTGAGCACTGTTGGGAGAGCCCAGACTGCCAAGCTCAGGGGACTCGGTGGCACTCCTGGAGTTTCTGCCAGCTGAGCAGGGTGTTGGTCAGTGTGGCCAAGGACGGGGTGCGGGAGTCCACCCGGGCCCTCCTGGCGGGGCTCAGGGACCCCCGGAACGACGTGGGGATCCTGCCCAGGGCCGCGTTCCTGAACCACTTCTCGCCTTGTCTCTTTGCGCTCAAAACCCCACGTTTAATTAGAATCACCAGGGAAAAGGCTCACACGCACAGCCAGAGGGCGTCTGCCTGGCTCGCGGCCGACCCGGGTTCGATCCCCGGCATCCCATAATGTCCCCCGAGCCCCGCCAGGAGTGATTCCTGAGTGCAGAGCCGGGAGTCAGCCCCGAGCACAGCCAGGTGTACCCAAAAACCAATTTAAAAATGAAAAGGATGGGCTGGAGCGATAGTACACTGGGTAGGGCATTGGCCTGGCATGCGGCCGACCCGGGTTCGATCCCCGGCATCCCATAGGGTCCCCCTGAGCACTGACAGGAGTGATTTCTGAGTGCAGAGCCGGGAGTCAGCCCTGAGCATCCCCTGGGTGTGGTGACCCCAAAACAAAAGACTCCAGAGTGATTCTCCCAAACTGCTTGTGGTCTGTCCCACACTCTTCTCCAGGAAAACGTTTCCCCAGGGGCTGAGGGGAGCAGAAGACCTTGGTGCCATCCTTAATCACCACATGGTCTCCAAGCTCCGCCAGAAGTGATCCCTGCCAGGAGTGACTCCCACGGCACCAACAGTGCTCCCAAACTAGCCTCCGAGCGCTGCCCAGGTGCAGCCTGGGGGGGGGGAAGCAAAAACAGCAAAACCTCTGCCCAGTTAGGGTCCCACCCAGCGATGCTCAGGGCTGACTCCTGGCTCTGCACTCAGGAATCACTTCTGGCAATGCTTGGGGGACCATATGGGATGCTGGGGATCGAACCCGGGTCAGCCGCGTGCCAGGCAAATGCCCTACCCAGTGTACTATCACTCCAGCCCATTCTTTTTATTTTTAAATTGGTTTTTGGGTACACCTGGCTGTGCTCAGGGCTTCCTCCTGGCTCTGCACTCAGGAATCACTCCTTGCCGTGCTCGGGGGACCCTATGGGATTCCCGGGATCGAACCCGGGTTGGCTGCATACCAGGCAAATGCCCTCCCCGCTGGGCTATCTCTTTGGCATGGTTTCAGGGTTACGGTCTCTGTGTAGGCGGCAGGAGGCTCTGGTGACCGGGGGTGTCCCAGTGGGACCCTGGTACCTCGGGATTGAGTCACGCAGAGCCGGGCTTGTAAACACGGGCTTGGTGACTTAGCAGAGGCTGGGTCTCTGGGGACCCCCGACTGGCTGTTCCTTCCAGCCCCCCTTACCGGCCATGGGACCACCGACCAGGAAAAGTCTCTGGGTGCTGCCAGTGGCTGAGAATTTTACCTCCGAACTCCCCTTGCATTTTTTTTTTCTTTTTGGGTCCCACCCGGCGATGCTCAGGGCTGACTCCCGGCTCTGCACTCAGGAATCACTCCTGGCGGTGCTCGGGGGACCTTATGGGATGCCGGGGATCGAACCCGGCTCGGCCGCGTGCCAGGCCGACGCCCTCCCCGCTGTGCTATCTCTCCAGCCCCCGGAAATTAATTTTCTTGAGGAATCGGGGTTTTCCTGGTCACCTTGGAAATTTCTGGAAAGACAGCCAGAGCTGTGGGGAGGTAGGGAGGAGGCTTTGGGCCCCCGCCCCCCGCAGGCAGGTTGCAGGGGATCAGGAGGCTGAGGTTGAGAGGGGGCGGTCAGGAGACGGGGGTCCCCCCGCCCCTCGTGGTCCACTCACGGGATGTCAGGATCTTGGGGTGCAGGCCCAGGGATCTGGCCCGGGAGGAATGCAGGGGGCTGGCGGGGGGGGCCGAGGTCAGCTCTGTGGGTCTCCCCCATCCAGGCCACTCCCCCCTCTAATCAGTGCTGCCCTCCTGGGAAGGCCAGGACTCTGCATTCCTGCAGGAACATTCCAGGAGCGGCCTCAGACTGCCCAGGGGGGAAGCGAATGAATTTTCCAGCACCACCCAGGATTTCACCTGATCCCGGGACCTCTCCACTGAAAAAAACGGAAGAGAGAGAGAGAGAGAGAGAGAGAGAGAGAGAGAGAGAGAGAGGAAGGAGGGGACAGGCAGAGACAGAGAAGGGAGAGGGCGGAGGGGAGAGACTGTGGCTTGCAGAGTGAGGGCAGGGGAGGAAGGACATGTGGAAGGCGTGTGGCCTGCGTGTACCTTGCATGTGCCCTGCGTGTGGTGACCTGGAGTGGGCTTGAGCCCGGATGCTTCTCAGACTTGTTCTAACATGGAAAAGCATCTTTACGTCTCAGTCAGCAGTGTCTGGGGTTCGGATGACTAAAGCGGTTTTTTGGGTTGGTGTTTTTTTGGGGGGAGAGAGGAGGTTTGTGTGTGTGTGTGTGATGTGCACCGAGCACTCTGTGCTCTGTGCTCTGTGCTCAGCACTGACTCCCAGCTCAGTGCTCAGCGCTGACTCCCAGCTCAGTGCTCAGCGCTGACTCCAGGCTCAGTGCTCAGGAGTGACCCCCCCCCCAGCAGGGGACTGTAGGTGGTGCCGGAAATAGAGCAGTGGAATCTCGGCCAAGTGCTTTAGCTCTTTTCTTATCTCTCTGGTCCTCCCCTGCAATTTTTTAGGGGACCTACCCCCAGTGGTGCTCCCAGCTCTGTGCTCAGGGATCACTCCTGGTGGGGCTCAGGGCACCTGATGGGGTGTCGGGGATCCCTGCTGGACACTCCCCCCACCATTTTTAAGCCCCCAAGGAGGAATAAATTGCTCGGTGGCGGGGGGGGGGGCAATTCCCAGCTTGGTTTCTCCATTCGCCTTCTAGAAGGTTCTAGAATGCGCGTGAGAGTCCACCGTCCAGTCAATACAAGCTAACATTTAGCATGTGGACCAGTTCCGCTGGCGTGGGTGAAATTCCCAAGGCCAGGAAGAATCCCACCAGCTCCAGAAGAGACCCTTGGGCAAGGGAGAATGGGGTGGTCTGAGCCCCCGTTACGGTGGGCATGAGCAGGGAAGGGGGTGAGGAGGTGGCGGCGGAGCTGCGGGTCGCGAGTGCCCTTCTCTGGAGAGATTCGGTTCCGTCCGCTTCCCAGGGCTGACGGATATAAATAGACCAACGTCTCGGGAAAGCCTGGCGTGAAATTAAATTCCAGGCCCCTGGGTGCGGTTTTGCCAGCCGGCTCCGTGCCAAGGCCCAGCAATGCCCTTCTGCTGGCGGTGTGTGTACCCCACCTTTGCGCCATGCCTGGGCCCCTTGGAATATAGCCACGGAATCAGGAAGAAGGATTGAGGCGTTCGGGTGACTCCTAAGACTGGGGGCTGTTCAAAGAGTCACAAATTTAGGGACCAGGGCTGGAGAGATAGGACATTTGAGAAAGACATTTGAGTATTTTTTTTCTCTTTTTGATCATACCCGGTGATGCTCAGGGGTTCCTCCTACCTCATGCACTCAGGAATCCCTCCTGGCGGTGCTTGGGGGACCCTAGGGGATGCCGAGGATCGAACCCGGGTCCGCCGCATGCAAGGCAAACGCCCTCCCCGCTGTGCTATCGCTCCAGCCCCAACATCTTAACTTCCGTGCTATTTCTCTGATCTAATAACCTGCTTCCTTCCTTCCTTTCTGTTTTTGGGTCCCACCCGGCGGTGCTCAGGGCTGACTCCCGGCTCTGCACTCAGGAATCACTCCTGGCGGTGCTCGGGGGACCCTAAAGGATGCTGGGGATCGAACCCGGGCCGGCTGCGTGCCAGGCCAACGCCCTCCCTGCCGTGCTGTCGTCTGGCCCTTTATGTGTGTCTTAAGGGGTCTCAAAGGCAATACCGGGCCCTCCCTGGGCACGCGGGGGGTCTGGAAACCTTCCAATGCAAGGATGAGCCATTCCAGGTCCTTGATTCATTTCCTGTCTGGGTTTGTGTTGGCTTCTGGGGTGGGGAGGTGGTACCCGGCAGTGCTGGGCGGTGATGCAGGGGGGCCGGGGAGGGACCCCCACCCTCCTCCCCCAACCAGGCTCATCTCTGTGTGTGACATAAATGCTCCGGCCTTTGGTGCTCGCTCAAGTTTGCTCTGAAAGTTGGTTCTGAGGCGGGCGGGATGGGGCCGGGGGGATGAGTAAGGTCAGAGGAGCAGATGACCCGCACAGGCGCTGACCCTGACCGCCCCCTCCTGACCGCACGCCCCTGTCTTGTCCCCCCCAACCCCCCGCAGAGCGAGCCAGGGATTATCTGCACAAGACGGGACGCTTTATCGTCATCGGCGGAATCGTATCCCCGGTACACGACTCCTATGGCAAGCAGGTGGGTGCTGGCGTTGGGGGGCGGGTTGGACCCTGCCGAGACCCCCGGGATGCTGAGTGACCCGACCCAGGGTGGGCAGGGGTGGGGGGACGGGGGTCAGCTGGGGGCACAGCGGCCGGAAGCTGTCCTTGGTAGTGGACGGCCACGGACACAGCGGAGCTCACACACACACACACACGAACGCACACATGCACACACGTGCACACGCAAACGCGCGCACACACACACATGCGCACACATACACGGACGCATGCACACACACGCACACACATGCACATGCACACACATGCACACACTCGCAGACACGCACGCACACACGCACGCACACACATACACGCACGCACACGCACACACACGTGCACACATACGCGGGCACACGCACATGCACACACTCGCAGACGCACACACGCACACACATACACGCACACGCACACACACGTGCCGCACATACACGGACGCACGCACATACACACACATGCACACACACATGCACACATGTGCACACATACACGAATGCACACACATGCACGCACACGCGCACACACATGCACACATGTGCACACATACACGGATGCACGCACACACGCTCATACGCACATGCACACACTCGCACATGCACACACGCACGCACACACGCACATGCACACACATGCACAAACATGGACACACGCACACATACACGCACACACATGCACAAACACGCACAAACATGGACACACACACATACACGCACGCACACACACGCACATGCACATGGACACACATGCACACACTCGCACACACGCACACACATACACGCACACACACGCACACATGTACACATGCGCACACGCACACACACATGCACACACGCGCACACACGCTCAGAGGAGAGGCTTCACGGGGGGGGGGGTGGGCGGCTGGGAGTGGTGAGTGGGACCCCGGAACCTCCCCCTGTTGTTCCGTGTCCCCCAGGGCCTGGTATCCAGCAAGCACCGCCTCATCATGTGTCAACTGGCCGTTCAGAACTCGGACTGGATCAGGTGGGGGGGAGGGCTGCAGGGCGGGGGGTTGGGGGGCGGGGCAGGAGCGGACGAAGCGGGCATGCAGGGAGGGTGGGGGTCCCCGGGGCGCCGTGGAGAGCCGGGCGGTGGGACTCGGGGCCTCATTTTATTTGGTTTCCTTTGGTGCCGGGGTGGGCGTGTGTGTGGGGGGGTGTCCCAGAGCCGCTGAGTCTGTCTGCAGCCTGATTCTTTTTGTTGTTGTTTTTTTTCCTTTTTGGTTCACACCCGGCACTGCTCAGGGGTTCTTCCTGGCTCTGCACTCAGGAATTACCCCTGGCGGTGCTCAGGGGACCCTATGGGATGCTGGGAATCGAACCCGGGTTGGCTGCGTGCCAGGCAAACGCCCTCCCCGCTGTGCTGTCGCTCCAGCCCCTGATTCTTATTTTTTTTGGTTTTTGAATAAAATATTTTATTTAGACGTTGTGTTCATGGGGGCTGGAGTGATAGTTTAGTGATAGTTTAGGGACCTTGGCCTTGCAATGCAGCCGGCCTGGGTTCGGTCCCCGGCATCCCATAGGGTCCCTTGAGTACCACCAGGAGTGATTCCTGAGCACAGAGCTGGGAGTCAGCCCTGAGCACAGAACCCCGAGTCAGCCCCAAGCACAGAGCCAGGAGTCAGCCCTGAGCACGCAATCAGGAGTCAGCCCTGAACACAGAGCCGGGAGTCAGCCCTGAGCACTTCCAGGAAGGATACCCCCACCCAAAAAAGAAAGTAAACAAAGGCCCGGCCTAGGTGTCTTGGGGTCGAGTCCCCGCCCCTCATGGTGTGCTGGGAGACCCCCGCCCCCCCAAAAAACCCGCACAACCTTACAAAGGGCGCAGCTGAGCTCAGGGCGCCCGCACCGGCCTCTTGGGCTGGAAGCTGAGCACTCCCAGGCGAGCCCCCGGTGGCTGCAGTGATGGGACTTCCTGTGCCCGCAGGGTGGACCCCTGGGAGTGTTACCAGGACACCTGGCAGACCACGTGCAGCGTCCTTGAGCACCACCGCGACCTCATGAAGGTGAGCACCACCCCCTGCTCCCCTGAGAGCCCCCGTGGGTCCCTGCTCGGCGGCGGTGATTGGGCGCCCAGAGAGGGAGGTTGAGTTGTCCGGGGACACACAGCAGCGACTCCTGGGCCAGGTGAGCGGGGCCCTGTGGGAGTGCTCCGCGACGTCCTCGTGTTTCAGTTTGTCGTTCTTAGCTGCTCGGGGATTCGAACACGGCAGCTGCTGAGGCCTCCCCCAGGCCCTCCCGGACCCCACCAGGCCACCTGCCTGCCCCGAGGCCCCTCGGGGACGCCCACAGCGACTCTGCCCTCCCGTAGCCCGACCCCACACCCCGCTTCTCAGCAGTCTCAGCCCGGACATCCGGGCCTGGGTTCATTCATTCATTCTGGACACATTCATTTATTCAGCCCAGAGACAAGCATTCATTCATTCATCCCAGACACGCATTCATTCATTCATCCTGGACACATTCATTTATTCAGACCAGAGACAAGCATTCATTCATTCATCCCAGACACACTCATTCATTCATTCCAGACACACACACTCATTCATTCCGGACACTCATTCATTCATTCCAGACACACACACACTCATTCATTCCGGACACTCATTCATTCATTCATTCATCTCTAACTCATTCATCCTGCACTCATTTGGTCAACCTGGACACACGCATTCATTAATCTTGGACACACGCATTCATTCATTCATGTATTCTGGACATATTCATTCATTCATTCATCCCACACATTCATTCTTTCATCCCGGACACACTCATTCATCCTGGACACAGTCATTCATTCCGAAACACATCCATTCATTCTGGAATGCATTTATTCATTCATCCGGAACGCAGTCATTCTTTAACTCTTTCATTTATTCATTCCAGAATACGTTCACTCACTCACTCACTCACTCTCTCACTCATTAGCTCATTCAGTTCATTATTTGTTCATTATCTCGTTCAGTTGTTCTGGAATTCATTCATTCATTCATTCATCCTGGAATGCATTTAACTCATTCATCTAGAAATCATTCTTTTTTTTTTCTTTTTGCTTTTGCTTTTTGAGTCACACCCGGTGATGCACAGGGGTTACTCCTGGCTCATACACTCAGGAATTACTCCTGGGGGTGCTCAGGGGACCAATGGGATGCTGGGAATCGAACCCGGGTCCGCCACGTGCAAGGCAAAAGCCCTCCCCACTGTGCTATCGCTCCAGCCCCCCCCCTCATTTATTTTTGAGCTCATTCGTTAACTCATCCATTCATCCTGGAACTCATTAATTAATTAATCAATTCTGGAACTCGATTCATTACTCCATCCCGGAACTCATTCATTCATTCCAAAACTCATTCATTCAAAACTGTTCATTCAGGGGCGATAGCACAGCAGGGAGGGCGTGTGCCTTGCATGCGGCCGACCCAGGTTCGATCCCGGCATCCCATAGGGTCCCCCGAGCACCACCAGGAGTGATTCCTGAGGGCAGAGCCGGGAGTCAGCCCTGAGCATCGCCGGGTAGGACCCAGAAAGAAAAACACAAAAACCCCGTAAACTCAGACCCTCTCGTTCACCAGAGATGCTCTGTTTCTCTCTGACATTGCGTCCCCACTGGGGGTGTCCACTGCCTGCCCCATCCCAGGGCTCCTGACCCTTAGGCGCCCCTGCCCAGTGTCCCCCCGAGAAAGGAGACCACCCGGACCACAGAGGCTGCTGCCCTCTTAGCTGAGGGACAGGGCCCAGGGGGACACGGGTTTCAGACTGGGGTCTCTCCTGGGGCTGCCACACTCCGGACACCCCCAAAGCAGCCACTAGGCCCTTTTAGTCCACCACCAGCTGGTGGGAACTGGGGGTCCAGCCCATTCCAGAGCCCCACTGCCTGCCTTCCCGGCTCTGGGGTGCTTCTTCGACTGGGCCCGGGCGGGGTGCATGGGGCCAAGTGTGTGTGGAGATAACCCGGAAGCACTTCTACTGAGTCCCTGGGCTCTGAACCACGTGTCCCCCGCCCTCCCCTCCCCAGCGGGTGACCGGCTGCATCCTCTCCAACGTCAACACCCCCTCCGTGACGCCCGTGATCGGACAGCCCCCCAACGAGAGCCCCCAGACCATCTACCAGAACGGCAGCACACCCACCAAGCCCACCGCAGGTAGGACGACAATTGGGGGGTCCCGGCAAGAGGAGGAGGGAGGCAGGTGGAATCTCACGCTGCAGAACGGAGGGTGCGTCCCTTGAGTCGGGTCCCGCAGGCCTGGCAAGCTCCCTGTGGAGTATTAACGGGTCTCATTCTCCTGACCCTGAAGGAGCCTTGAATATGGCTGCGTTGGGAAGGACGAGTAAGGAGAGGCTGCTAAAATCTCAGGGCTGGGAATAATAATAAATAACAAAAAAAACTCAGGGCTGGGATGAAGGGACACGTGACTGGCGCCCGCTCAAGTAAATCGAACAACGAGATGACAGTGATACAGTGATATAGGTATGGGAGAGGAAGGGGAAGTTTTTTTTTTTTTTTTTTTTTTTTTGCTTTTTGGGTCCCACCCGGCAATGCTCAGGGGTTCCTCCTGGCTCATGCACTCAGGAATTACTCCTGGCAGTGCTCGCGGGACCATATGGGATGCTGGGAATCAAACCTGGATCGACCATGTTGGCTGCATGCAAGACAAACGTCCTACCCGCTGTGCTATCGCTCCAGCCCCCTCAAGTTTTGTTTTTAAAGCAGTGTTTGGGGAGCCCCCGGATCACTTGGCAGTAGCCGGCCCTGGTCCGCAGACCTGCCTAGTGAGGGGTTCATGCATCAAGCCTGGTGGTAGTGCTGGATTGTCACTGGGACCTCCCAGGGGCCCTTTGAGCCGCCCTAAATGTCACTGCATAATTTTCACAGATTTGATGCCAGGTTTTTAGCTTGTTTTCATCACCAGAGATGCTCAGGGCTGACTCCCGGCTCTGCACTCAGGAATCACTCCTGGCGGTGCTCGGGGGACCCTGTGGGATGCCAGGGATCGAACCCGGGTCGGTTGCGTGCCAGGCCAACGCCCTCCCCGCTGTGCTATTGCTCTGGTCCCAATACCAGGTTATTTTTGGCAACTGTGCCCAGTTCTCGTCGGGTGGAGCTCCAGGACCAAATGGGGCTGGGGGTCGAACCCGGGGCATCCTGCATGCAGAGTCTGTTCATCCCAATGAACTGCCTCTCCAGCCCACGATGCTTTTATTATTATTGCACTGCAGAACCCTGGCACAGTCCTCCCGTTGTTCATCGATTTGCTCGAGCGGGCACCAGTCACGTCTCCATGGTGAGACTTGTTGTGACTGTGTTTGGCATCTTGAAGACGCCACGGGGAGCTTGCCAGGCTCTGCCGTGTGGGCGGGATACTCTCGGGAGCTTGCCGGGCCCTCCGAGAGGGGCGGAGGAATCGAACCCGGGTTGGCCGCGTGCAAGGCAAACGCCCTACCTGCTATGCTATCGCTCCAGCCCTTTATTTTTTATTTTATTATTTTTTTTTCCTTTTTGGGTCACACCCAGTGATGCTCAGGGGTTCCTCCTGGCTCTGCGCTCAGGGATCACTTCTGGTGGTGCTCGGGGGACCCTTTGGGATGCTGGGAATCGAACCCAGGTTGGCCTCGTGCCAGGCCAATGCCCGCACCGCTGGGCTATCACTGTGACCCCGCCATATGCATTTTAAACATAGATGATCCCGGGACTGAAGAGAGGTCAGTGGGTCAGGCGCCTGCCTGCCTTACCTGTGGCCATCCTGGGTTCGATCCCCAGCCCCACACAGGGTTCCCCAAGAACTGTTAGTAGCAGTCACTGAGCACAGAACCAGGAGTCAGCCCTGAGCACTGACCTCCCTAGTGGCCCAACCTCCCTAGTCCCTTCCCCCACAAAAATATCGGGGCTGGAGCGATAGCACAGTGGGGAGGGCATTGGCCTTGCATGCGGCCGACCCGGGTTTGATTCCTGGCATCCGATAGGGTCCCCCGAGCATCACCAGGAGCGATTCCTGAGTGCAGAGCCGGGAGTCAGCCCTGAGCATCGCCGGGTGGGACCCCAAAAAGCAAAAAAAACAAAAAACAAAAAACATAAATAATTCCTTCTGGAATCTTCCCAACGTCAGCCTACTCCGGCCTTCGTGGGGCTGGCAGAACGGGACACTGGCTGGCCTCTCTCTGCTGTCTCTCCTCGCCCTCCTGCCCCCCGGGGGAGCCAGGGACCCCCTCCCTCCATCCCCTCCTCTCTCTCCCGCAGCCAAGATCCTGGGGAAGGTGGGAGAGAGCTTGAGCCGTATCTGCTGCGTGCGACCCCCCGTTGAACGTTTCACCTTCGTGGGTAAGACCCCACCGCCCGCGCTGACCTCGCCTTCCCCAGGGGTAACCGGTCCCCTCATCCCCCCATCCTCCCCTCCCACCCCTCCTCCATCCCTCTCAGGGATGTGGACGTCGGCTCTGGGGTTCAGACACATTTCCTTGGGGCCGGAGGGAGAGCGCTGCAGGGAGGCTGTTGGCCTTGCATGCAGCCGACCTGGGTTCGATCCCTGCATCCCATAGGGTCCCCCGTGAGCACTGCCAGGAGTGATTCCTGAGTGCAGAGCCAGGAGTCAGCCCTGAGAGCATCGCCGGGTGGGACCCAAATGATCAGAACCCCCTCTGGGCTTCGCTTTCCCCTTCACAGCCTTGCAGTTCTCTGGCGACATTTCCTACAGATACAGTTACAATGCGTTGCGGCTTGTGGTTCAGTCAGACTTGTAACTGTATCTTATGATGGATGATTCAATTGAAAACTCCATTTGCGCTGTTTGGCTACTTCTGGGATGTGGGGAGGACCCCTGAGGAGAGAAAGGGTCCTTTGGTCCACTGCCCACACCATCCCCCAAGCCCTGGGGACATTCCTGTGGTCAGTCTCCCAAAAGCACCAAACGGACTAGATGGTTCTGGGTACAAGCTGCGTGTTTGAACTCTGTCTTCCCCAGAGAGAAAGGGGACACCCGGCTCCCTGGAGCGAGGGGTCACCCCACCTCCATGCATTCCCGACATGCCCCCCTCACGGGGAGTCCAGCCCGCCTCCCCCTCGGGCTCTCTGCAGTGTTGGGGGCCAGGACGGAGGGTCCCTAAGTCTCTGGCCTTTCTCTGTCCCTGCAGACGAGAACGCAAACCTGGGCACAGTCATGCGGTATGAGGAGATCGGTGAGTAGAAGGGGGGATCGCGGGACACCAGACCTCGGAGCTGTGGCTGTTCCCACGACTGGGGGACCTCCATGTCCCCCCTTGGAAGCTCTCGCGGGACCCCCACCCCGTTGCGTGAGAGGGGATGGCGGAGTGACCGGGAGGTTCCCAGTCAGGGGCTCTGCCTCATTCCAAAGAAACGGAAATGCACATGGATCCAGGAAGAGCCTCCTTGGTCCAGAGGGCTAGGGAGGTGCAGAGGATGTTGACCTTGCCCACGGCCGACCCGGGTTCGATCCCCGGCATCCCATAGGGTTCCCTGAGCACCGCCAGGAGTGATTCCTGAGCGCAGAGCCGGGAGTAAGTCCTGAGCACTGCTGGGTGTAGCAAGGAAGGGAGGGAGGGAGGGAGGGAAGGAAGGAAGGAAGGAAGGAAGGAAGGAAGGAAGGAAGGAAGGAAGGAAGGAAGGAAGGAAGGAAGGAGGAGCAGGGGAGGAAGAGAGCTGTTCCCCTCTGCAGAGGTGCCGCCCGCACAGGGCAATTTGCGGGGCTGGTCCGCGCCTGGGTGGGCCACGCAGGGACAGGTGGGGGCGTCCGCGTAGCTGGGATTCCTGGCAGGGGTGTGCGTCTCCCAGCACCCATCGGGGAGCCTGGCGCAGGGGTGGGACGAGGGTCTGAGCAGCCGAGCCGGACTTGCCGCAGACGACTCTGCTGGGGGCCCCTCCTGCTCCTCCCCTCCCTCCCCTCCCTCCCCCTCCTGCCTCTCCCATATTCCCTTTGTGAAGAGGACGGTCCCCAGTGAGCAAGCCCCTCCCACTCGAACCCTGGGCGTCGGGAGGCTGGCGGGCCCCGGTGCTCCCGGGGTGCCGACCCCTTGTCCCCTCTGTCCCCGCAGAGCTGCGGATCCTGCTGCTGTGTGGGAGTGACCTGCTCGAGTCCTTCTGCATCCCCGGGCTCTGGAACGAGGCCGACGTGAGTCCCGGGGATGGGCGAAGGGGGGTGGTGGGGGGTGACGGGCGGTGGCAGGGCCGAGGGTCTGCTGCAGTTTGGCCTCTGGCCTTAGACTCTGCCCCCCCAAGCACTCACCGACTCTGCACCCCAGCGCCTCGGTTCTGGAGTGTTCTGCTTCTAGAATGTTTCGAGTCCCTGGTTCTCGAGCGTCCTGCAAGTTCATCAGTTCTGAAGTGTTCGGGTCCTAGAACATTCTGAGAGTCCCTCAGTCCTGGAGTGTGCTGGTTCTGGAATGTTCTGCAAGAGCCTCGGTTCTGGGATGTTCTGCTTCTGGAACGTTCTGCAAGTCCCTCAGTTCTGGAGTGTTCTGGTCCTAGGGTGGTCCACAAGTCCCTCGGTTCTGGAATGTTCCAGTTCTAGACCGTTCTGCAAGTCCCCCCAGTTCTGAAATGTTCAGGTTCTAGAACATTCTGAGAGTCCCTCCTTCCTCGAGTGTGCTGGTTCTGGAATGTTCTCCAAGCTCCTCGGTTCTGGAATGTTCTGGCTCTAGGGTGGTCCACAAGTTCCTCGGTTCTAGAATGTTCTGGTTCTACACTGTTCTGCAAGTCCCCCCAGTTCTGAAATGTTCTGGTTCTAGACCATTCTACGAGTCCATCGGCTCTGAAAGGTTCTGGTTCTAGAACGTCCTAAGAACCCCTCAGTTCTGGAGTGTTCTGGTTCTAGACCATTCTACAAGTCCATCGGCTCTGAAAATTTCTGGTGTTAGAACGTTCGGAGAATCCCTCAGTTCTGGAGTGTTCCGGTTCTAGAATGTCCCACGAGTCCCTTGGTTCCGGAATGTTCTGGTTCTAGACCTTTCTGCAAGTCCCCCAGTTCTGAAATGTTCTGGTTCTAGACTGTTGTACAAGTCCCTCGGTTCTGAAATGTTCTGGTTCTAGAACGTTCTGAGAATTCCTCAGTTCTTGAGTGTTCTGGTTCTAGAATGTTCTGCGAGTCCCTCAGTTCTGGGATGTTCTGCCAGTGACACCCCCTTTTCTCCCAGACAGCCATTCCTGTGCCTCTGGGGCCTGAACCTAGGTGAGCTGGCACCCCCAGTGCAAGCCGATAGACACCCAGTGCTGCTGTATGATTAGCTCAAGTCTCTCAACCTCTCTGGGCCTCTCCTTGTGTGTTTGTTTTTCCCTCCCTGATTCCAGTTTCATCCGCCCGCCTTCATTTCTGGTAGACACCGTATCCGCTTGGAAGCCGTGTTTATCATGAAATGATGCCCCTCATAAGTTAATATGCGCGACCTGGCATACGACACCTTGGTGGGTCTTGAAATCAATCAAAAAAAAGATGGATTTTTTTTTTTTTTTGCTTTTTGGGTCACACCCGGTGATGCACAGGGGTTACTCTTGGCTCTGCACTCAGGAATCACCCCTGGCGGTGCTCAGGGGATCCTATGGGATGCTGGGAATCGAACCCCGGGCTGGCCGCGTGCAAGGCAAACGCCCTACCCGCTGTGCTATCTCTCCAGCCCCAAAAGATGGATTTTTAAAGCGATGGAGTGATAGCACAGCGGGGAGGGCTCTGGTCTTGCACGTGGCTGACCCGGGTTCAATCCCCGGCATCCCATAGAATCCCCCGAGCACCGCCAGGAGTGATTCCTGAGTACAGAGCCCAGAGTTAGCCCTGAGGATCGCCGGGTGTGACTGACCCAAAAAGCTGTCACTGTCACTGTCCTCCCGTTGTTCATCGATTTGCTCCAGTGGGTCCAGTAACGTCTCCATTGTGAGACGTGTTGTGTGTGGCATATTAAATATGTCACGGGGAGCTTGCCAGGCTTTGCCGTACGGGCGAGATACTCTCGGTAGCTTGCCAGGCTCTCCGAGAGGGGCAGAGGAAACCCAAAAAGCGAAAAAAAAAAAAAGGATTTTCAGGATCAGGAGAGATACTACAGCGGGTCAGGCGCTTGTCCTGAATGCAGCCGACCCAGGTTTGATCCCCATATGGTCCCGGGGCTGGGACCTTCTGAATCACACACACACACACACACACACACACACACACACACCGGCCTGGGACACTCTCTCCTCTGCCAGGGAGAGACTCAAGACGTTTGACTTGGGAGCCATTCAGCAGAACAATGAAATATTTCCACCTGCCGCCAGACGCCTTCTTCAAGAGCAAGAGTCAATATTTAACCAAAAATCAAAAACCTGAAGGAGAAACCGTAGGAGCTGGGGCCGACCCGGGAGGGAAGGGGCTTCGACTTCTCCTCCCCTTGATTTCTCAGCCAACCTGCTGGCTGACCGCTGCCCACTGACCACGGGCCAGTCAGAGCCGCCAACTCTGGGGAAGTTTCCAGAGAATGGGGAGAAAGTTGGAAGAGGGTCCGTGCCCAGCGGGAGAAACCCAGGGGATCTCAGGGGAGACACGAAGACAAACTTTGTGGGTTCTACTGATTTTTTTTTTTCTTTTTGGGTCCCACCCGGCGATGCTCAGGGCTGACTCCTGGCTCTGTGCTCAGGAATCACTCCTGGTGGTGCTCGGGGGACCCTATGGGATGTTGGGGATCAAACCCGGGTTGGTTGCGTGCAAGGCAAATGCCTTACCTGCTGTGCTATTGTTCCAGCCCCTATGAATGGATCAGATATTGATCAAGGTGCTGAACTGGGTGATTGAACATATATTATTATTTTATTATTATTATTTTGCTTCTTGGGTCCCACCCGGAGATGCTCAGGGCTGACTCCTGGCTCTGTGCTCAGGAATCACTCCTGGCGATGCTCGGGGGACCCTAAGGGATGCCCAGGATCGAACCCAGGTTGGCTGCGTGCAGGCAAACGCCCTCCCTGCTGTGCTATCGCTCCAGCCCCGGTTCTGATGGATTTTCACCAAATAGTGCAGACAGGGTGGGGGGTGGAGCTTAAGTCTTCCCTGACTCCGGAATTCCCTGTTTTTTTTTTTCCTCAGAAAATGTGGGGGCAGGGAGGGGGTTCCCCTCTGACAACTGTCCACTGGTTTGCTAAGTTTGTGCCTTGAGACCCTCTCCCTTCTCTGCCCGCCCAATTTCTGACCCGACCCGATGGAGAATCTGGTCTCAAGCGCCCCTCACCACTCCGCCCCCCCCCCCCCACCCATCCCCAGTGGCTTCTAGAAGGTTCTTCGAAACCAAAGCCAAAACCTGCTCGGATGTAGACAGAAGTTGTCCCCCAGGGGGCACCAGAGAGGCGTGACGAGCCGGGCTGACCCTGATGAGGGGAGATGGACCATCTCAGGACCCGGATGGGGGTGGGCGTGGGGGTTCTGATAATCTGGATGACCCTGGTCAGGCTGATCGGAGAACTGGACGCCAGAAGAGAGTCAGTATCGTCTTCCTGTGTCTTAACACACCTTCTTGGAAGGGGATAAAAAAAATACTCACCCAGCCCCCTTTGTTAGGGGAAGGGAGAGGATAGAAATAGGCCGTGAGCCCCCCAGCTGTGCTCCAGAAATGAGGGGCTCAGGGCGCTGGGGGCTCCGGGAGTCCCAACCAGAGCCTTTACCCCTGAACTAGCTCTCCAGACCCCAGCTTTTAAATGTCATTCATTCATTCATTCATTCTTTCTTTCTTTTTGATTGGGTCTCACCTGGTGATGCTCAGGGCTGACTCCTGGCTCTGCATTTAGGAATCACTCCCGGCGGTGCTCAGGGGACCCTCTGGGATGCCGTGGATCGAACTTGGGTCGGCCGCGTGCAAGGCCAACGCCCTCCCCGCTGTGCTATCGCTCCAGCCCCTGTATATCTCTTGACTTTTGGCCACCCCTGGCCCTGCTCAGTAATCCCATCCCTCCTGCAGAGCTTGGAGAACCAAGCGGTCCATATAGGGGCTCGAACCCAGGCCTCTGGCAGACAGAGCATTTATTTGCTCAGCCCTTTTGAGTTGGCCCTATTTTTTTTTTTTTAATTTTTATTAGTGAGACAGTTGTAGACTTACAAATTTTTGTGCTTGGGTTTCAATTATACAATGATCAAACGCCCATCCCTCCACCAGTGCCCATTTCCCACCACCACAGATCCCAGTATCCCTCCCACCCCCCTTCCCCCCATCCCACCCTGCCTCTGTGGCAGGGCATTCCCTTTTGTTCTGTCTCTCCTTTTGGGTGCTGTGGTTTGCAAAAGAGGCAATGGGTGCCAATCATGTTCGGTCCATAGTCTACTTTCAGCATGCATCTCCCAGCCTGGGAGGATCCTCCCAACACCCTTTACTTGGTGCTCCCTTCTCTATCTGAGCTCCCTTTTCCCCTAGCATGTGTGGCTGGCCTCCAAGTCATGGAGCAAAACTCCTGGCACTAATCTCGGCCACTCTTGGGTGTTAGTCTCCCATTTTGTTGCTTTATGTTCCCCAGACGAATGCAATCTTTCTATGTCTGTCCCTCTCTTTCTGACTCATTTCTCTTAACATGATACTTTCCATGTAGTACCACTTGTATGTAAATTTCATGACTTCATCTTTTCTAACAGCTGCATAGTACTCCGTTGTGTAGATGTACCAAAGTTTCTTTAACCAGTCATCTGTTCTCGGGCCCTCAGGTTTTTTTTCCAGATTCCTGGCCCTAATTTTTTTATGTTCTTTTGGAGTGAACGCTTGGGGGTCCCCGCTGAGGAGATGCTGGGGGGCTTTGGAGTCTGACCTCACCGAGACCTCCTTCCCCTGTCCCCTCCTTCCCTCTCTCTCTCTCCCTTCCCCTGCAGATGGAGGTGATCGTAGGGGACTTCGGGATCGTGGTGGTGCCCCGGGACGCCGCCGACACAGATCGCATTATGAACCACTCCTCGATCCTCCGCAAATACAAAGTGAGTGCTCCCTCGGAGAGCGGGGCGTGTTCCAGAACCTTCTCTGGGGGTGGAGGGCGGCAGTGGTGGGTAACCCTCTCTCTGCCGTGTCCCCAGAACAACATCATGGTGGTGAAGGACGACATCAACCACCCCATGTCCGTGGTCAGCTCGACCAAGAGCAGGTAGGTGGGCGGTGGCCCCTGGGTGCCCCCTGACCCGTCCTTGTGGTGGTCCCAGGGGACCTCACGTGTGTGTCCCATCAGCTTGGCTTCCTAAATGGCTGCTCCATGTTCTTGGCCGGCTTAAGGGGGTCCCGGGTGGTCTGGGAGCCTTTGGGTGAGGGAAAATTGAATTAGGAAGGAAATGGTCAGTGTTTAAAATGAGCGAGACATGGGGCTGGAGCGATAGCCCAGTGGGGAGGGTGTTTGCCTTGCACGCAGCTGACCCGGGTTCGATTCCCAGCATCCCATAGGGTACCCCGAGAACCTGCAGGAGTAATTCCTGAGTGCAGAGCCAGGAATAACCCCTGTGCATCGCCGGGTGTGACCCAAAAAGCAAAAAAAAAAAATGAGCAAGACGTGAACCAGAGATAGCACAGTGGAGAGGGCGTTGGCCTGGCACGTGGCCGACCCGGGTTCGATCTCCGGCATCCCAGAGGGTCCCCCGAGAACCGCCAGGAGTGATCCCTGAGTGCAGAGCCAGGAGGAACCCCTGAGCATCACCGGGTGGGGACCAAAAGCCAAAATAATAATAATAATATTCATGGAACTGGAGATAGTCCACCAGGGAGGGCGTTGGCCTGGCACGCAGCTGACCTGGGTTTGATCCCTGGCATCCCATTGGGTCCCCCAAGCACCGCCAGGGGTGATCCCTGAGTGCAGAGACGGGAGTCAGCCCTGAGCATCACCGGGTGGGACCCAGAAAGCAAAAAGGAAAACGTTTATTGGGGTCTCAGGGCGTAATTCGTGGGCTCTAGCACATAGGTGCTCCCCGTCCGTCCTTAGGGGGTTGGAAAGGGATTTTCCCCCCTTGAGCCCCTGCAGAGAAGAGTAGGGACCAGGAGTGATCCGGGTCCATTCCTGCACCCCGAGGTTCCCGGGTCGGGGTGGGGGTCCCCCCAGTTCACTTCCAAGGAGAGCAACAGGAGATGGGCCCCTCCGTGAGCACTTGAAACCCGGGAGTGGGGGAGAGGGGTGGGGTGGGGAGGGGGCGGGGTGGGGGGCGTGGCCTGAGTCTCCGTCCCCCCCCAGGCTGGCCCTGCAGCACGGGGACGGCCACGTGGTGGACTACCTGGCCCAGCCGGTCATCGACTACATCCTGCAAAGCCAGCTCTACATCAACGCCTCGGGCTAGCGCCCGCCTCCCCCCTCGGACTGTCTGCGGCCCACCCAGACCCCTGCCCCGCGGACCCGGACCTGGCCGGGGGGGAGCTGGGAGCCCCCCGCACGCTCGGCCCCGCCCCCAGCATGCCCTGGGTTGGGGCCGCGCCGCCCCCCCGCCCCCCGGTTCCGTCTTTTCCCCTTTGGACCTGCCTATGGGGCCGCCTGCGCGCGCCCCAGAGGACCCCGATGAAGTCCGCGCCGTGGCTCCGTGGGCGCGCCGGTGGGACCCAGTGAGGCCCGCGCCTCCTCTTCCTCAGCCCCGAGCCCCTGCACACACGCCCCACGCCCCACGGTCACACTGTACACGCCGCACACACGCACACACACTGCACACACCCCATGGGTCACAGTGTACACCCTGCACAAACAGTACATACACGCACACACTGCACACATCCCATGAATCACAGTGTACACATTGCACACACACATAGACACAGTACACACACACAGACACACACTGCACACACCCCGTGGGTCACAGTGTACACCCTGCACACACAATACACACATGCACACACTGCACACATCCCATGATTCACAGAGTACACATTGCACACACACATACACACAGTACACACACACGGACACACAATGCACACACCCCACGAATCACAGTGTACACACTGCAGACACACGTATACAACTGTGTACACACATGCAGACGTATGCACACTGTGCACACGCTGTACACACGCACGCATATAACTGCACACATGCATACGTATACACACTGCACGCCCCACGTATACAACTGTGTACATGCACATGTATACACGCTGCACAAACATGCACACACACTTACACACTGCACGCACACCACACATCACGTATGCAACTGCGTACACATACGCACACATATGCACACTGCACACCCCCACGTACACACAGTGTACAGACATGCATGCATGTTTGCACACAAACCCCACATATACACAGTACACATACACGCACACACGTATACACACGGCACCGCCCACATATGCACAGTCTACACACATGCACACAAATGTATACACACTGCACACACCCTACCCCCGCAGATACACAGTATACACACTGTACATGCACGTATACACACTGCACACAACACCCCTCCCACGGATCACAGTATACACACTGCACACACACACGCACGTACATGTATATACATTGCACACATCCCGCGTATGCACACTGCACACACACCCTGAACGTACACAATGCACACACTGTGTACACACACTGCACACACCACACAATCGCATGCATGCATATGCCACGTTAAAACACTGTTCACCCACTGACAGACCACATGTGCACACCCTCTCCACACCGTACACATGTAGACACATCACACATTCATACTGTACACACTACACGCACCCCACATATACACGCACAGTACATGCCACGTACTGTACCACATGTACACACATATCCAGACACCGCACAAACACACACACACGTCCGTTAATGTACACCACACCTCCCACACATGTGCACACACACACACACACACACACACACACACTCCCACACGCACTCACGGGGCAAGGCGGAGGTGGGTGAGGGGTCCACAGCGAGACCCAGATTCCACCGCGGGCTGGTGAAGAGGCTCTGAAGGGTGGGGGCCCCCCGCCCCCGGAGGCCTGGGGGTCCCCCCGGAAGACCGAGGCGCCCTCGCCCGCATTCCTGCAACTGCGAACACGACCACGCAGTCCTCGCCGAAATAAAACATGCCAGGAATGTGTGTGCCCTTGGGGACGTGCCCGCTCGCTGAGTGATTTACGGCCTGGCCACCCGGCCCGAGAGAACCCGGCCGACCTCGGGGAGAGGGTGGGGCTGGACCTCCCGCACGGCCGCACCCCCACACTGCTTTCGGGGTATCCGCCGGGAACGGCTGGGATTTGATTCAAGAACCTTCTTCACGCCCACCCACCCCCCTCTCTCCGGGCTCCCCACACCCCAGATTCCCTGGCTGAGGCTTGAGGCAGCTCCCACTTGCTTAAAAAAAAACTAATGGGGCTGGAGCAATAGCACAGCGGGGAGGGCGTTGGCCTTGCACGCGGCCAACCTGGGTTCGATTCCCAGCATCCCATATGGTCCCCCGAGCACCGCCAGGAGTGATTCCTGAGTGCAGAGCCGGGAGTCAGCCCTGAGCATTGCCGAGTGGGACCCCCAAAAGCAATCAATCAATTAATCAAGAGTGATGAACCAGGGACCTGGGCAATAGCACAGCGGGGAGGGCGTTTGCCTTGCACGCGGCCAACCTGGGTTCGATTCCCAGCATCCCACATGGTCCCCTGAGCACCGCCAGGAGTGATTCCTGAGTGCATGAACCAGGAGTAACCCCTGAGCATCGCCGGGTGTGACCCAAAAAGCAAAAAAAAAAAAAAAACCCTAATTATTCTTCCAACACACACCGGGGTGTCTTGAGCCCCCCCAGGAAAAAGAGCTTAACCCAATGGAGGCTCCCTGAGGACCCAGCCTTGGGTGGGGAAGATCCGGTCCTCTCGGCGTTCGCTCGAGAAGGTTCCAAACCCGGGTTCAGCCAGCCCCAAATGGGGCAGAATTAGGGGTGGTGGTGGTGTGGGGGGGTGGGTAGGACTCACCCGGGCAGGGAAGTGTGAGGTCCCGTGTTGGGCTGCGAAGAACAGAGTCCAGAACCAGCGTGGAACGTGGGGTTCGGGCCAAGTTCTCCTGTACATGAAACTCCACACCCCAGCGGGTGATGTGTGTGTGTATGTGGGGAGGGGGCGTGTGGGGGAGGGGGCTTGGGGGCATAGCACAACAGGGAGGGCATTGGCCTTGCACGCTGCCGACCCAGGTTCGATTCCCAGCATCCCATAGGGTCCCCCGAGCACCGCCAGGAGTGATCCCTGAGCGCAGAGCCAGGAGTCAGCCCTGAGCATCGCCAGGTGGGACCCAAAAGCAGAACCAACCAACGAACCAAAACCAACCTCAGAAGGCCATGAACTGCATCCCAAGTGATGGTGCCCAACTAGAGCCCCCAGTGCCCTGGGAGACCCCCTTAAAAACACTCATTGGTGGGGCTAGAGCTATAGCTCAGCAGGGAGGGCATCTGCCTGGCACATGGCTGACCCGGGTTCGATCCCCGGCATCCCCTAGGGTCCCCCGAGCACCACCAGGAGTGATCCCTGAGTGCAGAGCCAGGAGTCAGCCCTGAGCATCGCCAGGTGGGACCCAAAAGCAGAACCAACCAACGAACCAAAACCAACCTCAGAAGGCCATGAACTGCATCCCAAGTGATGGTGCCCAACTAGAGCCCCCAGTGCCCTGGGAGACCCCCTTAAAAACACTCATTGGTGGGGCTAGAGCTATAGCTCAGCAGGGAGGGCATCTGCCTGGCACATGGCTGACCCGGGTTCGATCCCCGGCATCCCCTAGGGTCCCCCGAGCACCGCCAGGAGTGATCCCTGAGCACTGAGCCAGGAGTCAGCCCTGAGCATCGCCGGGTGGGACCCAAAAAGCAAAAAACAAAAAACTCACATGTGGGCCGAAGTCCAAACAACAAACCCGCCTTGCTGCAATCACTGGCAGAGAGCAACGCTTTGGGGAAGGTGGATTAGGCCAGCCCTTCCCCACCCTTCCCCAGGGACCCCCACACACCCCCGAGAAGGTCACTGATGTGGGAGTCCATTCCTATGCAGGCATCTTTCCTTCAGACTCAAACTTCCCTGCTGGTCTCCTCCTTCCAAAGGCCACCCCAGATGGACCCGTCTCTGGGTTCTTAGCCGGCCAGGGGGCTGGCTGCCGGGGATGCTGGCTCAGAAGGTTCTGGAAACTTTCCTGGCAGCCTGTTTAAAAAAAAAAAGTCCCTCCCCGGGGCTGGGGTGATAGCACAGCGGGGAGGGCATTGGCCTGGCACGCGGCCGACCTGAGTTCGATCCCTGGCATCCCCCGAGCACTGCCAGGAGTGATTAATGAGTGCAGAGCCAGGAGTCAGCCCTGAGTATCGCCGGGCGGGACTCAAAAAAGCAAAAAAATAAATAGGTAAATAAATAATGTCCCTTCCGGGCCTCTGAACGTGGCCGATAGGATAGGGGGGTGGGGGGTTAGGGGGGTGTAGAAATCTGACTGTTCCAGGAATAGGTCCCCTTGGAGGGGGTGTTGCGTTGGCGTGGTGACCTCATCGGTCACTCACACATTGCCTTTTGAGCCCTTGAAAGGACTTAGCACGGGGGGAAGGTGTCATTGAGGTGCCTGACACGCGGGCCTAGAGCTTGGGTGAGACGTGAGAAAAGTTCTCCCTGGCGGGGGCTGGAGCAATAGCACAGCGGTAGGGCGTTTGCCTTGCACGTGACCGACCCGGGTTCGATTCCCAGCATCCCGTATGGTCCACTGAGCACCGCCAGGAGTGAGTCCTGAGTGCATGAGCCAGGAGTCAGCCCTGTGCATTGCTGGATGTGACCCAAAAAGCAAAAAAAAAAAAAAAAAAAGAAAAAAAGAAACGTTCTCCCTGGGTCAGCTAGAACGACTCTCACACCCCAATCCCCGTCACCCTCCCACCCGGCTGGAATTCTCCGGCTCTGCCGAAAGTCAGACACAAGTATCTGCTACCCTCGGCAGTAAGAGCTGTCCAAGGCAGGGACGGGAACGGGAGAACCAACCTGTCAGCCGATGACCGGAGTGCAACGGGCCTTGTGTGTGTGTCTCGGGGAGAGAGAGAGAGAAGGGGGACAAACAGGTCCCCAGGACCAGGGAGATAAACCAAAAAAGGGTGGCGGCAGGAAGGTTTGAGAGGCGGTAGGGTTCCCTGAGCACTACCGGGAGTCAGCCCCAAGCACAAAACTCGGAGTCTGCCCTGAGCACTGTTGGTTGGGGAACCCCCCCCCCCAGATTCAAATAATAAGTTGTCAGAGGACCCACGGTTTCAAGGCCATGGCAAGAAGGCGGAACCCAGGAACCGGATGGATGGACCCAGGGCGATGCAAATGAATTGGGCCACTTGAGAAATTGTAGCTTCGT